CACCCCTTGCATCTATGCTAGGCAATATTTTTTACGCTTGAAGGATTTTATATATCTTTGAATACCAGATAAGGAAAACTGAGATACTGGCAAAGAACCCAAAGGACATGACATATATATAAATTATGAACCAAAACTTTCTAGGCAGACACTTAGAAAGCTCTTCAGAAGCGGTAGCTGAAAAGAAGAGCATGAAAGTACATGAATGCATTTAGTGCCCAACAATTCTCAGTCATCCCTCCACCCACTGACAAAAAAATAAATGCATTAGTAAAGATGGTCTTAGCTGTGAAAGGTGCATTGTATCTTTATCTGACTTTTTTAATTGCTTGTGTGTCATGGTTCTGATGAGCAATATTTAGAGTACTGTCACTCCACTGCAAAACAGCAGCCAGCCCCACATAAAATATAAGACTTCCAGTGTGGATGCTAGAATGCATTCATCTTAAAATTCACTCCCTGTGAGCATTCATGAGAGAAAAATTTGTTCACGCAATGATAGATGCCAATGTTGCCAAAGCAAACTCATTTAAGAACATATGTGAGTCTTCTCAAAATATTTTTACTATTTCTCCTAGATATAATTATAAGACATAATTGAACTGTACAGATAGATTAAAAAATAACAAGGCAATTACTCACATTTTGGATTCATTAGACAGCAATTTAATTACAGAGCATTAAAAATAAAAAAGTATATATACTTTGGCTATTTTCATTTGTTTTATAGCAAACATTGCATTTGAAAAATAAAAGATTTTTTTTCAAAATATGCCATTTAGTGTGCATAACACAACAACAAAATACATAGCTAATTTTTATGCCCTTGAAGGTATGAAGCTAATTAGTTATGGCACTGAACATATAATTACCTTTTCCATACTCCACTGCCTACCCTACAGGCAAATAAACTTTTTAAACTTCTTAAAAAAGCCTTTACATAAGCAAACTATGGTAGATTATTACAATGAATTGTAAACTAATTCACTTTCAATTTCAAACCTGAATTAGATCATGTTAATGATTGTTTTCTTCCATTTACACTGCAGAATGTTAAATGTAAAAAAAAAAAAACTAACAACATTAAAATTAGATTTTTTTAAAAAACTGCCTTGATATAATTTATTGCTGGTAAATCTGTCAGTCTTAGGCTTTTCTATAATGAAAATCACTGAGAATGGTAATATCCAAGTTTCCAATCCAGGAAAGTTCTTTGCATACAAGAAATCCCATTTAACTAGCATAGTTAAATTTATGAACACTCTTAAGGTTTTCTCTGGATCAGATGCTAATTGACAAAATGGTAGTTCACTGCACGGAGAGGTATTCTTATTAGACTCTTTACTCAGATTCACACAAAATACTTCTAAATACAGAAATACTGTATAATCACATCATTAAAATCTTATATGACTGATATTACAGACAGGGATCATCTAGGAAAAGATGACAGTTCTTCGCTGTGTATGAATTTCCTATGTGCACATAGTCTTTCCTTACTGCAGATTAGGGCTGGGCAAAGCTTCAGTTGCCAATTCAATTTGTTAGAGATTTGACCCGATTCAGTGGCCAAATCTCTGAATCTGAACCTAATCAGGAGACTTTTTAATCTCTCCAAATCAAATCGGAACTCTGTCTAGGCCTTGCTATAACTGGTCCCCTTGTCCTCTCTCTGGGCTCTCCGAAGCCCTGTTGCTGCGCCTCACTGGCGCCTGGGTCTGTGCACCCCAAATGCCACACCCTCGCTGGCACCAGGGTCTGTGCACCCCAAATGCCATGCCCTCTCTGGTGCCGGGGTCCCCACATTGTAGTGGGCCCCCAATGAGGCCTCCTCCTTCCCCAAATAGCCTCACCCAAACCACTAACCAACTCCCAACTAACTACTAGGGCTCTCTCCCTAGCAGTTCCAGCCCTTAAAAGGAGCAGGACACCATAGTGCCCTGCGACAGTGCCTCCTGGGCCTGGGGGGGTACCCAGGGTTCCCCCATGGCTGATTGCCAAGCCGGGAAGGTACAGGGGAGTCCCCCTCACTTGGTGGCAGATGCAAAAGTGAACCAGAAGTATTTCCAGTGAACTTCCAGGTCCACCACTGAGCACACAGGGCCCCCTCACCCACGCTCTTGTGGGGCACTCCATCTGCCCCACCAGTGCAGCATTTATGAGCCACACCTGGTACCTCGAGGTATGTAGAAAAAACATTTAAAGTTGTGTCTATGGACGAACCACTGATTCGCCGAATCAGCCTCAAATCTTCAGATTCGGATTTGGCTGAATTGAATCAGGACAGTAATCCAAATCAACAAATCAATATTCAATTAGGTTTCAGCCTGAATCAGGGGGCAGTTATTCGACTCATTGATTCAGATCACTGTTCCCTGATTCAGGCTGAATCCAAATCCAAATTGAATACAGCCTTTTTTGCACACCCCTTCTGCAGGTTTCCTCTAATTTGCTACTTTTTACTCTCATGTACACAGAGTGAGCTGCATTCTGTTTGGGCTCATGTATCAGTGAAGTTGATGGCTTAGTTCTTAATGAAGAAGCTTTTGCTGTGGGTATGCAAACCAGAAGGAATCTAGCTTGAGATCTCAGAATGAATTTTGCAGGGGTGGCAATAGGAAGACATCACTTGACTGGTAAATTAGCAAATATGAGCCAGAGGTCACTGAGAGGAAAACATTAACTCTACAATGTCACATGCAGAGTTACTTTTCAAAGTATTACTCTAATTTAAAATCTGATGGGCAATTTGTCTGTTCTGTGCAGAGAACTCTTGTGAACTTCTATGAGACATCTTCATGTAGAGCTGCTAAGAACTGCACTTAATAACTAAAATGCACTCCTTTAATTTTTATAAAAAGAATAAATTCTAAAACTAAATAAATTATGTGTAAAAATTAAATGTGTTAATGAGAAATTAAAGAAATCTGAAGTAGTACTGATCATCACATTGTCTTACTACAGGTGAAGCTATATGCTCTTTTCAAAGAACTTCTAGACTTCAGAACTGTGATAGATAACTCTTTTATTATAATTGCTGCATCATAACTGCCTGTAGGTTAAAGGAGGCAGAATATACAGTTATATTCTGTGGTGAGTCACAATTATTTAAAGTAATTCAGTAGCTATATATTAAGGTCTTAAAGAAGGGAGCACATGAGGAAATAATTCAATGGAAACATCGCACTGGTGACAAGGACTCGCTAAAAACTCTTGTGTTCTGAAATAAATAGGAGTCGACATAAGGAAATTCACAAGCAGTGTTACTTAGCTGCAAACCAACTCTGTATTCCCCAACTTAGCCAAAACCTTGGATTTAATAGGAAACTATCAGCCACATATTTCTATCACTATATATGCTTTCCTCAAAAGCCATTAAAATCATTATTACTAGCAGTAAACCAGAGACCCAGACTCGGAGAATTCTTAGGCCTCATTTCTCTCAGATGAAACAGACTAGATACAAAAAGTGACATGATTAGTGTTTTACAAAGAAAAAAGTGCTGCATTCATCATCTGAAGCACTATATCTTATTAATACAGGAACAATAAATAACTAGAATAGGGAGTGCATGTTCTAAACTCAAGGCAAGAAAAAAGGAAATGCCAGTGATGATTTATAAGGAAAAAGAATAAATTATGTAGATGTCTGTAAAAGGAAACGCATCACGTCAGGCAACCAGAAGTGAACTTGGCCTACCATATTAATTCAGGGATTCTTACAAATTAACTCATCCTTGAATCATTCACCCAGAATTATGATCCAGTGTGCTTAACTTACTGTTTAACATTGTGTGCTGTCTCACTTGAAGAGCTATATCCTCTTCATTTTACTCAATTAATGCAACAAAAAATGTGATAATGAAAAAAGGAAAGGATAAAAGACAACGTATCCATTTCATTTAGCTCTTAAAGGCTAGTCATTGATCCTTAAACACAAGTCTACCTGTCATAACAATTAATGAAAAACTAACATTGTAAAAAATGTACTTACATGGGACTTTGACCAGTAAATAAATACATCAGCCACCATACGGAACAGTTCCTCTGCTTCAGGGTTCGGTTCTTTCAGCCATTTTGCCCTAACATTTGATAAGGAGGGGAGGGAGGGAAAAGCCTTTAGTGATGAGCCTTCCTGGCTCATAATGTTTTGCTTTGAAGTAAATATTCAACATTATGCTATCAGAAAAACAAAACAATATGTGTCTGTTTTAATCTTTTATGTTGGGTGCTTCTGATGATCCATTAAGATTAGGTAAAATGCAAAAAATATACACACATATTTTTGAAAACTGCAGTTAACTACCAGCAAAGTCTCTTTAATTTCACATTAACACTTTTAGGGTAAAGTCATTTAAAATCAGTGCCAAATAGATCAAAACACACAACAAAGCATCAAAAAATGTACCAAACTGAGTTTTTTGGCTTTTTTCTTTAATAGACCCGCTCAGGTGATTATTTCCACATACCTGTTATAATCCACAAATCTGATCAACAAAGGGTAGAAGGCATAGAGGTCCCTTGCCAAAGTGGTGAACTCGTCTAGGATGAGCAGTTCAGCCTCAGACATGTCACCTCTGCCTTCTGCTCTTAGATGTTCTTCATCTGATATAACCATTGCTGCTTTCTTTTTCAGTTTATCCATCAGTGGTAGAAAGTGGGTCTTTAAGAGCTGGGGCTTCGCTTTGCTTATAATCGGCTGGGAAAACACTATTTAAGGCAATTGATATTATCGTATATACCTGATCACAAAATATAATCCAAACCTTTTTGTTCTCAACACTCCCATCTCTTGTAATTTAATTTTAAAAAACAGTATGAAACCCTGGCCACAAGGATAGCAGTATAAGTTTTCGATTGAATTCGATAAGGCCAGGAATTCATACCATGGAAATTCATTTCACCCTGTTGAGACAGCCATCCAAATTAATCAAAATTACACTAGCCTTATTATCATAAGATAGTCTATATATTCTGTACACTGGGGTGGCCAACCTATAGCACACATGCCAGAAGTGGCACAGGCAGCTTTTGTGTGTGGCACACATGAGCCTGGGGAAGGGACAGGGAGCATAATGGCAGATAGGGCAGGAAGCAGAAGCAAAGCAGTAAAATCAGGCAGGGAGCAGAAGAAGGGGGCAGAAAGCAGAGAAGAAAATCTGACGGGGGAGGGAATTGAAGTTGTATTTGAGAAGGACACAGGGCTAATTTATGGCAAGCCTGAAAGAAAGATTGGCGCCCACTGTTTTACACTATTTTAGCTTGGGGAAGCACATTTTCATTCTCTCTTAAACATTATGCAATAACAGGTTAATAAGTCCTTCCTAAGCCCCTGGATCTTCTTTCTAATAAAATGTTTTGCCTCGCCCAAAAGGAGAAAATAAAGGAAATGTCATCAGGGAGCTTCTTCTGGTCATTTTCAAAACCACTAGATAAATATTTGCATTTTGACAGTTGATCAGGACTCAACTGAGGCTCTGAAAATTCAGAGGTACATCTATTACTTTGTCATTTAAAGCATATTTCCTGTAAATCTAATCATCTAAAGGTTAATGCATTAAGCTAATTTGTTTGCATAACATCACAATTCTTGAACAATTGATAAAGACCGTGTCTTAGGATGATGATTCATCATAAGTAGCACTTTGGGTCTCCAGTTCTGACAGAAAGTGTAGGGCTCCTATGAACTTAAGTAGTGAAAACAATGAAGATGGCTATAAACATTGAAAAAAAATCATATGATCACTTAATTCAGAAGCTGAATACAAACACAACAGAGGAAACATTTCCCAGGATGCAAAATCAGTATTTGAACTGATCTTTTCAGCTTTTTTTAATGTGATGTTAACCCTCTCAATGAAACTCAATGTTGTGATGATATGTTACCTGACAGTAGGGTAGGAATTACTATACAGATCAGGCTTTCAAATAGGACTTCTATATAGCAACCTACTGCTTGTAAATCGAAAGCTATCAAATTCAGATAAGAGTGGCCAAGGTATACTGCTTTATTTCAGTAAACCACATATTACACCCGCATATTACAATATGCTCTTAAGTGAAAGAAATATATTAAGTTCAGGATAATACACAACTTATTTTAAAATATGCTCTGTCTTTTTAAGAACTGCTGTTTTATTCACTCCTTTAAGCAAGCTTAATATTATGCAAAAATTATAAAAAAAATAAGGGCCTAGGTCTCTTCCAACTTAATACGAGTTAAGAGAAAAGAGTTAATTTGGCATTATTTAGCTGAAGTCAGCATGAAGTGGATTAAGAACCATGCCCTAATTGTTAATGTCATAACTTTTTACCTGCTAATCTCTTCATCCAGGCTCCTTCATCAATACCAAGGTTGTTATATATGATTTTCAGTATATTGCCCAACAGAGTGTTCATGTGCTCAGATGTCAAGCCTGTGCAGCACATTTCAGCCTTTTCAGGATTATTTTCTGGCCCATGCTCCCACCAATGTGACATGTAGCTACACAGCATAGGCAGTATCACTTCCATAATATGTGGCATTTGGGTGTACCGAATACCAGACTCAGCCAATTCCACAATTTCTTCCATTAGCTTCTCCAGGGAAGGAATATTTGGACAAACTTCATCCACACTAGCTGGCAAGTCAAGGGCTAGGGAAAAAAATAAAGAATTACAGAGGAAGAGCAGTAAGAATTCTGATGAAAAATAACCCAATTAATACATGAAAACCCATGTGCTTCGTTCTTATTTTTACAGGTGAAAAAGG